TATATATATATATATATATATATATACTGTATAAATTTCATGTATAAAATATCAATTTTTAATATCTCAATATCTATAAAACTGTCATTGATGACAAAACAATCATGGGGACTCAGCTATGTCACAAGCCAACTGACAGAAACACTATGCTCCATGCATGCAGTGTCCAACCCCCAGCAGTAGTCATCGGGGGCCCATATGTGCAGATGATCAGGGTAAAAAGGAAAAATTACAACCCCTTGACAGATGAACTTCAGCTTGCTGAGCTGAGATGATAACACAGTTTACTAAACATGGGTATTCAAGGGAGTGAGCCATACAGTGGATGTGTATTCCTGTTAGACGATTGTTTCCAGTGACCAAAGCCTCATATTAGCCAATACACCTTCCCCCATCATGCATTATCAGAAGGGACAAAGCTTAAGAGACCTCCTGATGCATACAGTTATATCATATGACTGAAATGTCTACCTGGCTCAATCCTTGTAAACCTGGCTGTTACCATTGTCCAGACGGTACTACATGTATACATGTGTAAAATCCTTTTATTGAAATTCATTGTGGGACACATGCCCCACTAAAGCAGGATTTTATGGTGAGTACAAAAATTAAATTTTCTCAGAACACAGGATTCAGAGACAATCGAGGCATCGAAAAGCTTCAAACTGGGGGGCAGGCAACACAACAAACAAAATGCTAACAGGCCTACTATAAACAAAAGAAAACTGGTAACTTCCTCCAGCTCACAGAGCTGCCTACAGGACCTTGTGCCCTAAGCTGGCATCAAATGAGGCCTGCAAATCCACCTGGTAAACCTTTGACAGCATGTGAACAGAAGTCCAGTTGCAGCCTCACAAATATGGCAAATCAGCTGATGCCAAAAAGCACAACAGGCACTCAGAGGTAGACCTTGCATTCACAGGAAAGGGTGGCACCCATTCCTTAAGACCATAAGCTTGAATGATGATCTATTTGAGCCACTGAGAAATGGTGGAACGAGAAGCTGGTTCCCTATCCAGGGGCCATTATGCATGATAAAGAGAGAGTCAGTCTCTCCAATGGGAGCAGTGACTGTGAGGTAGACACACACAACTCGGACTACATCCAAACAATGAATGGAAATCTTCTTTTAATTATTCCAAACAGAAGGACAAAGGAGGGAGGGGGCGCTAGGCTTTAATACCACCTTGTCCTTGTAAAGTACAAAAAGGGTTCATTACAGGATGAAGCCACCAGTTCAGACACACGCCT